AGGAAAAGGAGAGGTTAGTTGTTTTGTAGCCACATCGGCTTTGATTGCAGTGCTGGAAAAGAGACGAGGATGCCAGGTACTGCTTAGTAGATGGAGACGTTAGCAGAGATGCCATTGACGGAAGAAAGAGAGAGACGGAGCTTTGCTACAGAAGGGGGAACAGATTGAAAAGGCAGAGCGGCGAATATATGTATGATTCCACTTCCGGCAAAAATACGAAGCTGAAGCCTGAAAGCTCCCTGAACTGAACTGGACACGGTGTGCTGTTCTGTACTGTTACAGTGTTACCTGCCGGATGTTTTGCTATATCAACGTTATCGGATCGGTTTATACCGTAGTGTCTAGGAGTAGGGTTGGAAGTTTGGTACGGTATTTGGGATATACCAAGAATATCGTATCGAATTTGTGTACATTTGGTATTACCGAATACATGTATTGTTTATTGGGATTGAGATTGAGATTAAGATTGAATTTCAATTGTTATTCGGTATTAGGGATTACAAGTTTGAGATCGGTAAATACTGAAATACCGATCAATATCGAAATATAAGCTAGTGTGTATTTTTTATTCTCTCAACTAGACTCTCTCACTCACTACTACACGACCTTCAACCACCAAGAGTGTCATTTAATTATACATAGATCATTCCATCAGTATTTCACAACTTAGAAGTTCTCATCCAACTCAAATTTAACTTTCCAATTTAAGTCACTCTCGTCCCTCATCCAAAAATCAAACACTAGTATTAGTCGTCTCTCAACCTCCAATTCGTCAAATTAAAGATTACTAATGACAAGAACTTGAGAAATCACCTCTCCTCCATTCTCTTTATCCATATCCTAGCTCTAGGCAAACTCAAGACTTTTTGCTTAGTCTATTTGCCCTAAATTAAATAATAAAATCAAATTTATATATTTAATTATTAATTGCAAAGATAATTAATTTCGTATTTTGTTATACCGATTGGGATACCAAAATATTTAGGGATTAGGATTGAGATGATTTTAGGGTGTAATTCGGTATTCGGGATTTCGGTATTTGGTATTGGAATACCGATACCGTGCCGATTTCCACCCGTATCTAGGAGTATATACTGGTTAAGTCCAAAGTGATTTGACCCATACCCAACCTAATTGATGTTTGAACCATATTATATCAAATCAAATGTTCGGTTTTTATTCCGTAAATTTTATAAATACCGAAGAAAACTTAATCGAAGTGACATTTGAACCGGAATGAAGAACCAAATACAATGTTGGTCCGAATTGTTTTTTATAATGACTGTTTTCGATCCTAAAATATCTTTCACTATTAAATTGCAGTTCTCTGAATTGGGTCCGAATCGAACCGTTGCACACCCCTTAACTAATGTCTGTTTTGCAAATGGTATGCTGCTGCTAAACCAGTTCATGTCAGATTTAGTAAAAGATGCATAGAAGTGGAAAAATCATTAACATTAAATGACTCTATACATATATATATATATATGGTAGCTACTTCGGTGCACTCGGTGCACCCAACTCTAAAAGCGTCCATAATACATCAAATTTTGAACTTTAATTAGTACTCTCAATATAATATGATGATATGACATAAAATAATAACAAATCAATCCATTACCCTAACCACTTAACCTTCAATTTTGAATCCCAACCCAAAATCCCAAATTGTAAACCTAAACCCTAACCCTAAATCCCTAAATCCTAAATCCTTCGAATTAAAATAAATTTTGAATGAATTTTTTTCAAATTCATCTGCTTCTTGTTCATAATATCATAAGCAACAATTGATACCGTTTTGACATGAATCACATGGTCAGAATGACAATTATGAGGCGGGTGCACTCAGTACACCCGAAAAAGTGGGTGCACCGAATACACCACCATATATATATATATAGGGAGTTCTACGGTACCTAGATGAAATTCGGGGTACCGCATATATTGAGTAAGAAAACGCTATCCAGAACTTGAATTGACTGATCTTTCGGACATGATACTATACTCTAACCCTTAAAGATCAAAATCTAGGTCTTAATTCCCTAAATCTTATACCCCAAGATCAATTTAATTAGAAAAAATAATCGACGGTTATGATTCCAAATATAGGCAAAAAAAAAAATCAATGCACCATCTTAGGGTTTATAGTTTATGATTTAGATAATTAGGACCTAGGGTTCACTCATTAAGTGTTAGGGTATAGTATCATGCCCAAAAATCTGGTTAATTCGAGGTCTAGATAGTGTTTTCATACTCAAGGTATGCGGTACCCCGGATTTCACCCTAAAATCATCTCAATCCTAATCCCTAAATATTTCGGTATCCCAATCGGTATAACAAAATACGAAACTAATTATCTTTGCAATTAATAATTAAATATATAAATTTGATTTTATTGTTTAATTTAGGACAAATAATTAATATTTTGATACATTACGAAAGAATTGGATAATTAATAGTATTTTAATAGGTTTGGATAATATAAATGAATATGAAAAAAGTTTGGATAAAAAATAGGCAGTACCCGTTATTCGAAACTTATATTAAAGTAATTGAAATCACGACGTGATCTTGTATATTGATACATTAGTCAGTCAGTCGAGATACCATTTCGAGGGAAAATCCAGAAAATTTTATTTATTCAGTTTATCACAAAGCCAAAACCTGCGGGCATCGTATCATGATATTCATAATTCACTCATCACCACCATAATTTAGCAACAACCATCCACGCAGCAAACTCGCCCACATCTGAGATTGGGGACCCTCCCAACAAAATTGCAGCAGCGGCAACCTTCAACAATGTCACAAATGGTGGTCATGCTATGTATATGGTCCTCTAAGTGTATATGTATATGAAGTTAAGGATCCAAACGCAGACAGAATTGAACATTATGTTATGCAGTTTTAACAACAAGTGTCATGTGGTATTCTGATGAAACAAAGTAAAGCATACTAATTGCACTAGTACACCTTCTTCATTTCTTAAGCAACAGAATCAAATATATCCCTCCAGTAAACAAGCCTAATAAACTATACAAACATGCTTTTCCGAATTGGTGGAAGATGTGCCCACATCTAGAACAAGTGTTTGAAAAGTAACCCCAACTTGAAGTCCGATCCATAGTCCCTTTTTCCCTTGGGTGGAAGAAAAACACTAGTAGACCAAAAACTGGGATTCCAAAGAGGTACAGTGCTGCACTGCTGCTAGATTCTGCCCCAATGTGCTGCTACACTCAAATATATTCCCTTCCCTTTTCTTTCTCAAAATTAAACACCATTTTCTCCTCATTATTTTACTACTCTCAAATTTTCACGCTCGCTAATTTTCTCCCCTCATTATAATATAAGAAAAGAAGTCTTTGCAAAAAGGAACAAAATCCTTGTGGCCACTGTTGATTTTGGATAAACACAGTGTCCTTATTGTAAATTTAAATAAATGGTTGTAAATCTTAATTGATGTTTAGAAATACTTGTTTCACGAAAATTAAGTTCAATAAGTTATTGTCAAAACAATATTAATGAATTGTAAGCGCTTCAATTCGAGATCAATTAGAACATCCACATCAATACAATTGTAAAAACAATTGCAGTTGTGCTCTTTATTGCCAACTCATTTTTTTTGCTATCCAACTCATACTAATTCTATTCACCTACATCAATGCAATTAACTTGTAAATGCATAAGTGAGCCTAGTGATGGCAATGGGGCGGGACGGGTACCTCAATACCCATGCAAACCCCACCCCATAAAATGAAGGAGAAAAACTTTATGAATGAAAAATAGTGATACTAGAATGGGTAATTGAGTTCAACTAGTTGAAGAAAGTCAATATAGGAGAAATATTAATATATATGTTAAGAAATTGAAACACAATGAGCCAAGAACGAGGCGGGGCAGGGCGGATCGGAAGTAGATACCCATGCCCCGCCCCACGCGTCGGGTCAGGTTGGTTAAAACCATACAGGGCGAGTTCAAATTGTCATCCCTAGTGAGCACAAATTATTTTTTTATTAAATAAAATGTTTATATGTTTATTATTGTATCCGTAAATGAAATAATAAATTTACCCTTAATTTAAATAAAAATCGTATACTCAGCAAATGAAATTTTAAGGGCTAATATCACTGGGAAATTCGAAGTACATTTGTGTCCCGAACTATTAAGTATTCCAAAGATATCCCAACATATGATAGTCGTGGGTAAAATACCTCCGGTACCACTAAAATTTGAGAATTGGGGCAGACATACCACTAAAGTTTGAATAGGGCGTCAGGTACCATTAAAGTCACCAAAATGTGCATCCGTCTAGTTTTCCATCCAACCCAAAATTTTAATTACTTTTTGGTACCCAAAACTTTTAAAAACATCCAAAACTATATTTCAACAAGTTTTTATCTAATATAGAAATTAAAAAACCTTCTAAACATTATATTACTAAAATGACTAATCAAAATTTTCAATAAAATAGATAAGTTAGTAAAAATAATAATATCAAGAAGAAGAACAAATATATAGAATATAATAATAAATATTTAAAATCAATATTAGAAGATCTATTTAAATCACTAATCCGATAAGAAGTACCATTAAAAATAGTTAAAATAGAATCTAATTGATCATCAATACATCAAGACCAAAGAATGATAAATGGAACATAGTTAGAAAGAACTAAACATATTACAGTAATTGAAGATAATTTAGAACGAAAATAGAACGAAAGTAACCAAGAAAATTATACAACATCCAAATGATGTACGAGAATTCAATATAACATCCTCATATTATTTATATCGATATAGAATTCATAGGATATATTTGCTTAAGCAAATTATTCGATTATTATAACACATAATGGTAATTTAAAGTACTTATAATGATAATTGATTCTACATTTCCTATTCAAAAATTGGTTTGGTATCAAAAGCTTTAAAAAAAAAAGATAGAATAATTCAATTATTAGAAAATATAATAATAATTGAAAATAATTATAATAATAATTGATTTTAAATTTTCTATTCAAAAATTAATTTGGTATCAAGTTTTCAAAAGAGGATACCGATTAAATAAGGAGGGTAGAACGAAGTTACCAGATCAAGGGTGAATGATGGTGGATGGGGCAGGCGGTGCATTCTAGGAGGAGAGCGTAGTCGGAACACAAACACCCCACAAAATCTCACAAAGGTTGAGTTATTGACTCTAAAATCAAAGAACAAAACTGACTCAACCGAGGAGAAATAGAGAAAGAAATGCAAACCGACTGGTTGGGTTGCCTCCCAACAAGCGCTTCTTTCACGTCGTGAGCCGGACGATGGCTCCTAAGTTTCGGTCCATGCTAGAACCTCCTTGAAGTTGAGGTTCTCGTCAATGAGGTGGAGTCGCAAGTCACGAGCATGTGGTATGACTGGTGATGGAAGCTCGTGCACTTGATGCAGATGAAGTCTCCATCCTCGAGACCCCTTCTTCTCTTCTCTCGTCCCATTGCCCCAATTCTGATATGACAGCATCGATTGGCCACCATTGCGTCCACCAAGAGGGACCGATTTCGATGTGGCTTTGGTCTGGCAAAGAGACACTGCAAATGGGTCCTTGCTAAGCAATTCCTCGAAGTTTGGTGGAGATAGCACATGTAACTCATGGACGGTGCAAGCCTCTTCCACCTCAACTTCGTCCTCGGCCTGGACACCACTCGCTTCTTCAACCCCCCTTCCTTCTTCAAAATGTGGTCTCTCTCCTCGGAAAAGATCAAGAACTACCTCTTCTTTGCTTTCTTCCTCATTCTCCACAACTTCTTTCCTTATCCTTGCTCGCTCTTCTTCTTCTAGAACAGATTGGAGAGCAAGTCGCCAAGCAATTTCTTCAATGGGATTATCTTGCATCTCCTCGCACGGGCCCAGCATGTTAGAGCATACATGAGGAAAGGTGTGGTCGCTCCCATAGACTCCGTCATCCTCCACCTCTTCTAGCGTGGTAGCAGAAAGGTGATCTTGAGCAAGATGCGAGCAAACTTGCTTCACCCACTCTGTTTGCTTCGCTGAGCGCTGAACAGTCTCTTCCATATCATGGAGAAATGTGGGATCGGAAGTGGCAAGGGTTTTTATTTGAAGATCCATCTTGGAGCATGATTTCTCAGTGTCTCGAGCAAACTGCTCCACGAGAAGCCTTAATTGTTTGTTCGGATCTTCCAGTGAAGTGTAGCATGGCTCTGCAGAGTGGCCCGTGAAGGCCGCCATGGGTAACTCCAGCTCCGATGGCCCTTCTGGTTGTGGGAGAAAGTCTTCTTGGTAATGAGGTTGTTCTTGATGTGCCCAGGGGTCTGGTTGTTCTCCGTAGAAAGGGGGTTGGTACTGGAACCCGAATCCATAGTCTTCTCCTCCTTGATTGCTCCAAGGAGTCTCGGGGTAATACCACTCGGATGGTGGTGGATACCCCCACTGGTTGGAGAAGCCATGCAGATCCATGATTCAGATCTGCGCCAACAAAAACAAAAAACACCCAAGTGAAAAGCAAGGGTGGAAAAGAAAAGAAAAACGCTAAAGTAACAAACTTCTGCCTTTCCTAATAATCTAGAAAGTCCCCGGCAACGGCGCCAAAAACTTGATGCTCTAAAACACAACACCTAACAATGGCCAAGTGTAACCAATGAAAGGGACTGCAGTATAGTGGCACAAGTAATAAATATCGAATCCACGGGTCTCTAGAGTTACTATTACTCAGCTTCAGTTCATTATCTAGCAAAGTAGATTAAGGATTGATTAACTAAACTACTCTACTAACTAAACTAAGTAAAACTACTAATTACAGTTTGGGAACTCACTTAGGTATGATTCCCCCTAGCTCCTCAATTAGGTCCAAGTTGTAATTCCTTTTGGTTGTTTTACTGTTGATTAAACTGCGGAAGATCCGACAGTAGCTTGGAATCTCTTAAGCTGACCAAGCCCTCTCAGTCTAACTATCCGGCAGACGACTAGTCTTCACCAGTATATAAAGCTGAAGCAATAAGCACAGAACTCCACTACTGGAATTGGATTCCAGTACAAAGCAGTAAATTGGCTAACTCTCGTATAGCCAATCTCCTACTACCGAATGATGAGGCTCTAACAACCTAATCAGATTCTATCTATCTCAGGTTGCAGCAGAAATCAGGAAAAGTTGATCAGACTTCAATTGACTCAATAAACATGCATCATTCGATTATAATCAAACAATATAGCATCCAAAACTTCATACAAGAAAGATCCTAACTCATGGAACTAGGGTTCCTCAAAACCTAAGTGAAGGGAAGTTACTCCATAGAGAAGAGAGAGACTGCAGAAATCTGATCTAGATCTTCAACCTCTATCTCCAAGCTTGATTCCCGAGCTCCAGTGGCGAAGAAATCCTCCAAAATAGCTCCAAGAATGTTCCCAAGTCGCTATCTCTCTAGGGTTCGTCCCTTGGGTGTTTGGGAACCAAAACCCAGCTCTCCCTCTCCCTTGGCTCGAAATTGGCCTCAAAAACCCGATTCTGGGCGAATTACGGGCTGAATTACGGTCGTAATTCTTCCATGCCCGTATTTTGCCCAAAACACGCGTTTCGGTTAAGTTTCAGTGCACCCAAAGCTCCTCTCGGCAGTGAAAATACGGGCATGGGAGGCCAAATTACGGTCGTAATTCTTCTGCCCGTAATTCTTCCTCCGCTCCTGTTCAAAGCTTCGTTTCTCCCTTGTCCGGACTCCAAATCAGTCGCCGTTTGAACCCAGACGCTCGTAGTCTCGTCCTCTTTCTTTTCATAACAAAATTCCACGATAATTTGTCCATAATATGAGGTAGAAATCCATTATTCCACAGGTCATGCTCGTGTTTCTTCTCCCGAATTGCAAAATGATCTCCGATTGACTTGAAACTTGCGCCTTTGCTTCAATTTACATGATATGACCTGAAATGTGACAAAGGAACACAAACTAGCATAAAATAGTCCAAGAAAGCAAAAACTCAAGCCAAAATGATCAAGAAACGAGGGTGTAAACATGTGCAAATACGACGTTATCAGCATACCCCAATTCTGAAACTTAAGTGGTATCCGATGTATTTTACCCTGATAGTCGTATGTCATTTTTGTCCAGGCGATTTCGCCTACCGTTATAGATAACGGTTGACATGAAGAAGATCAATTTGATGTTGAGTTTTGTTGATATGTCACGTCATTAACCTATCATATTTTTAATTAAAAAGAAAATAAAACATAATTAAAAAGTAAAAACCTTCATGATTCGACCCTTCCCTCCACCCACCCCCCAAATCGTTCCAAGAGAAAAACACTCTCCATCCTCAATCTCTCCCTCGATGACGACAACAAAGTCGGGACTGGCGTTGAGGGGGCAATCGGCCGGATCGCTCCATTCTTGAGTAATCAAATGCACCGTGTTGACCAGCCTCGCGGTGGTCAAAGTCAACAAGGCAACGATTGGAACTTACTCGGATGCGATTTAATTGCTGGTGAACTTGCTCGATTTCGATAAAGGAAGAGAAGTCAAAGAAGGAGGAGAAGGAGGACGATCATTCTTCCTGCTGTACTTCTTCAGTGCCTTCTTCAGGATCAAATCCTCCTCGTACAGCCACGTCGCCCACCGGCCGTCGGCCGTCTTCCTACGTACTCCATCCTCCCGGTGACACAGACGAGTACGAAAGCTATGACGTTATTGACGTCCCATTTAAAATCTTCAATTGCTGCATGCGTAAATCCGAATCAAAGCCAATGTAGGAATTTCTATTATCGGTCTATACCGCTCTCTTCAACCCTAGCACTTCGATTCGATCGACTAATTGGATGGGATGGGAGGAGAAGGAGGAGAGGTGAGTTTTTTTTTATTTTTTATAAATTGATTTGTATTTTGTATTAGCTGGAAAAGTAAATAAAAATTAATATTAAATTCCACATCATAAGTCACATCAACGCTGACTAGACTTTCTGTTAAATGCATTCTTGACATTTTGATTTCTCAGTGGTATTAGTCTAAATTGTATTACTAATTGTGAAGAAATTTGGTATTACAATCAACAAAAATACTTTAAAACATAATTAAAAGCGACAATATATAGATACACTAAAGTTGCCATCATCATCTGTATAATCAAAATGCCGAATGTATAAATCACGCTCATTTTTCACTATCATGTTGTACTTAATGATGCATGTCCTCATTATTTCTCGAGTTATATATTTACACTACATGCGTGATTGTCAATTGTAAGATAGCTGCCAAATAATTGTCGTTGTTAGGGGACTTGAGGAAGAAGAAACATCTGCTATCGAAGAGGCGCCCGTAGTATTTAGGTTTTAATTATTTATTAAGCTAGTTTAGGGATAAAAACTAATTAAATCAAAATTAGGATTTAATGAGGGACAGTAAGGAAAATCGTTACGTTCTAATATTATAAGGGTATATTCTTGCAAAAAATTAATGATTGAGTATGTCTTTTAATCGACAATAGTAAAAGGGTATGAAATACTATTCACCCTTTTAAAAACAATAGGGTTAATTGCACCACATACCATATAATATAAGTATTGAGTTTGTTGCATACTGACCACTTATATTATTTTAGTTGCATCTAAATCATATAAGTCGGTTTTTAGTTACATCATTATATTTTTCATCCCCAAATTTAACGATGGGTACCAAATTGCAGTTTTCCATTCCACATAGGTATTCTACAACCTACTTGCCGAGTCAGATAGTGGACTACTAAATAGTAAATTCACATAAGCTTTTCCATTTTCCTTCTCTATCATTTTTCATCACTCCTTCATCCCACCCTTTCCCAAAGACCTTCGCGACACAACTTCCCCCGGAACAAGCTCTATTTCGGCCTCACATCGACGAGCACAGTCTTTTCAAAGACATGGCCCATTGGCGCCAATCTGGACGTAAAGGAGCGCCACGCCTCTGCCTTTTGCCGCACCCTCGCAGACAAAGTCCATGAAATCCAGAAGTATTGAAATGAGTAATGAGGGCCATGCCGAGCCAAGGCTAGCTTCTGACGTTCTCAAACCTTGGATCACCGATGTCGAATGCAAAAAGTATAAATCCTTCCTTTTCCTATTTTCCTCTGCAAAATTCAACTTCTGGGTATCCTTCCTTTTCTTGACTGTGATGAAATTACAGGGTGATTTTTTGAGTATTCAAGCGAGGCATGTAGAATCGGGTGATTAATTAGGTTATTATCTTGTAATATATCTTTTTTAATTCGATCTCCCATCTGTTCGTGATTGTCCAATTTTGGTTTTTGGTTGAATTGCATGTTGGATTTGAGAATTAAGGAATTATTCAAACTATAAGTTTCTCTCTCTTCCAGTTTCTGAATTTATTTACTAATTGTTTAAGGTAAATTTTCACGCTTTGTTCTTTTTTCTTTTTCTTTTTTGGGGTTAATTGCTCTTTATTTTTCTGTGTTGAGGCGGGGAAGGGGAGGCTGAAGGTCACCAGGAGGGCCAGAGTCGGGATTGACAAGGGTTGTCTCCATTGGTGCCACTCAACAAGTCGTTCAGCGACATTGAAGAAGGCATTGAAATACGAGGGAAAAAAACTTTCATACAATGGTGCATCCAGACAGGAGAGAAGAGTACGAGCTATGCCAATGATGTGCAAGGTGCAACGAGTAGAGGGAATTCGTCAATGATTCCAAAGGACACACCTGGATTTCTATGGCCCACCTTAGGATGAGTTGGAATGTTTGTGATATGAAAACTGCAAGTTGGTACCCACCGTTAAATTTAGAGATAGAAAATGTAACAATACAACTAAAAGTCAACTTATATGATTTAGTTGCAACTAAAATAATATAAGTAGTCAGTATACTACAAGGTCAATACTTGTATGATATGTGATGTTATTAAACCAAAAACAATAGGATTAATACCCTAGTTTGGCCTGAAATTTAGCTTAAGTGACAGTCCTGCCCCCCATTTTTCAAATAAGACACTTATAACCTACTTTCGAAATTATTAGACAGAATTGGCCCAAAATTTGTGTTGCCTGTTAAAACTAACGGTCAATATTTTTTTCCGTTAGTGACTCAACAAAAATGCTGAGGATGAGATCGTACTGCCAGATCTGGAGTACGACTTCGTCCGTCCGATTGTTTTCTCCCCGCGAAGATTGTATGGAGGAGACGCAAGTTATTCCCTAGCCAGTGTATCATTGGAATTCGATCTACGCAGGTTGTCTCTCTCCTTTTCTTCCATTTTGCCGTTTCCGTTTCCTCTTCCTTTTTTCGCCTCCGCCGATTTTCTTGGCGGCGAACCAAGTTGTGTTAACCTAGTTCACGTTTTCCTTTTCCCAGCTCCAGTTCAAGTTGTGTTAACCCCGGTCGTATTGTGAAAGAGGCTCCGCCGCGGCGGGGAGGGAGGTGGTGGTGGTGGTGGGTAGATGGCAGCTACCCTTGAGGAAGTGGAAGCTGTGGCGGAGATTGCCATGGTGGAGAGAAAGTGGAGGAAGAGGAGATGGAGGGAGTTGTGAGGGGATTGGATTTGTTATCTAGTTGAGGATTGAGGATCTTGTAGGGATTTGCTATCCATGGTGGCGGAGGAGTGGGGAAGGGTCGTTGGTGAAGTCTACAAATCTACAAATTAGTATAAGCCAATGTCACAATACAGCTTTTGCCACGTAAGCCATGGCTGAAACCGCCGCACAAGTCGGAGGCCCTTTCCCGTAATTTTCCCGATCCTTCTCTTTCATGCATTCTGTCTTCCAATTCTCACCGAAGATCGACCTCTCTCTCTTGCCGTCTCTGTATTCAAGCCCCACCGGAAATCAAAATCCTCACTCGCTGTCCAACATAATAACCGAAGACCTCTCACTCAATCGAAGTCCGATCATCTCTGTATTTCCTGCTCTGTCCGTCGGTGTTTTGTTGTCGATCTGCTTTGTCGTCGCCTGTGTGCTTCCCACCTGATGTCGATTCGTCGCTCTTGCCATCCGTCCCGCTTTGTACTCTCTCTCCAGAGGCTAAGTAATCCCAAGATGTCGTGGGTAACCCGCCTCTCTCGCTCTCGCAGAGTCTCGCTGTTTGTCTTAACGGAATCAAAGTCCCGTCCGTCCAGCTCCGTACTCTCTTTCCAACGGCGAAGTATTTCCTAGCCATCCCGGGTAAACCCCCTCTCTCGCTTTCGCTGTTTGTCTCGCTGCTCAGAGTCTAGAAACCTGTCATAGCGCCTAATTGGAGCAATATTCCATGTTCATGTAAGTTCCCTCAGTTTGGTTTGTGTGTATTTTGGGTTCTCGAAAGTTGTTAATGGAATTTTTGTGCTCCTTTTCTTCCATTTATTTTCCCTTTTCCAATGGGCATTCAATCCAATTGGTAACTATTATGCATTGCCAGTTTTATTCTACAGAAGCAACTCAATGGAAGCAGAAAAGGACAAAAAGGACTCAACTGTTGCCAGCCACTATAAGGTTTGACCTTACCTCTATCAGAGAATTAATTTAGTTGGATTTAAGTAGCATATCCATTTGTGTGCTTTTTGCTACATATCTGGTGTTAGTTCTAAATTATTCAACCCCAACAACAGCTTATTGATCTTATTTATCTTTCTTAAATCTCCCTCGGCTAATGGGTTAATGAGTACTTTGCATCACCTATGTGCCTCGCGGAATTGCATTGGCAGTTGGAGCTTCAATACTGCATCAACTAATAAAAGCCATAACTGAAATTTAATCGAGATTTAAGGAGTTGAAGGCAAATACGAAGGTGGATTTGAAATTGTTTCCTAGAATATGATAAAATGTTTGTTCTTGCCGAGTCAAATTGGTTTCAGGATCATATTTGATTAAGGTCTTATAAAATGATTTGCTCTCATTCTATTACAAATCATTTCGGTTTGAATTCCAATTTTCCTTCGCAAGACTCTCATAATCATCTTTGAACTCCACCGGCCAACGGGCCGGGCCCAATGCTAGTTAGATGTACGGAGGGGGGGATCAGAGGAGGGAGTTTAGATTAGGGTTTTTATTTTTCAAGTTTTTAAGAACTAAAAAGAAAACTGAAATAAAAATTGAAATAAAAATGACATGGAAGTCACAACACTGAATGTTGAGTCATTGACGGAATAAATGTTTGACCGTCAGTTTTGACAGTCAACACAAGTTTCGGGCCAAATCTGTCTAATAGTTTTAAAAGTAGGTCATATATGTCTTACTAGCTTGTTGTCTGACCCGTTGGTCGGAATGTCATTTGAACACAATGTATTTATGATGCGTATTTAAAATTTTTAAGTTAATTGAAATGTTGAATTTCGTATGACATCAAGGTAACGATCAGACCCACCCACCATCCCCTTACCTCTCTCCCCTCCCCTTTTTCTCTCTTCTTCTCACTCTCTAATGATCAGACCCTTGATTTTGTAGAGCCCGTTTTGGAGCACGACTTTGGTCGGACCTAGTCCAACTAGTTGCCCGGTAGAGGTGTCACAACCTTGGTCATAACACTTGTGAATAACCATTCATAACTTGTCTATTTAATGATGTAGTCACTTAGTTGCCTATGGTTGAAAAGAAATTTGACATAACAAAAAAAGAGTTTGTATGAAAAAGCATTGCATAAATAGGAAACTCATGATGATAACCTTTAGTTAATATTTATTTCTTTTGCTTGAGAAACAATACATATATAGCAATATCTAAACAGTATTATGCACAATACAATAACAAAATTAGTAAGAAAATAATATTTTCCATCAATACTCTATGCAATGAAAAATTATTTTGAAAAAATTATTTATCAACCAAGATACTCTAAATTTAGTTGAAGGACAATCTTATTCACATAACAAAAAAAAAAAAAACTAAACATATCTTGTGTACCTACCTTGCTAAGACTATCTCCAACCCAAGCATGGAAATTTGGAGAAAGGGAGGTTTTTGGCTTTTTTCATCTCCAACCCACCAATTATTTGGCTTGCAAATTTGGAGAAGTGGGCTTGGGGGTGGATAGATAGAAGCTCATATGGAGATATGCAAGGAGAAGGTGGGGGGACCAACCATGGAACACAAGCCCACACGCTGGGCCCCTCCACTTTCCAACATCATCTTTTTTTTTTTTTTTTTTTAACTTTCTTAATTTTTGATTGGTTGGTTATGAGTTGGGAAGGCAAATTTAGAAGGTTTAGGGTTGGAGCAAAAAGGTGTTTTGGGGAGGCAAATATGCACATTTGAGAGCTTGGGAGGCTAAATATAGCTTTTTGGGTTGGAGTTAGTCTAATGCACATGACCCCATCAACGCGTCCATGAAAACTCCAACCCGACTTTATGATCTGTCTTGTACTGCGTTATTTCATATTAAACTGAGTTACTATGAATGATACATCTAGTCAATTACCCTATTGAAATCATTTATAAAAATTGGTATTCATAAATTGTGTTCTTTTAAACTCACCCATTTTTTCAATCACGTCAAATTATCAAGAAATTTAGGATTTAACGATTAACCAAACTAAAACTTTCAAAAAAATTGGTCACTTACAGTTTGCATAACAATACCGTTGCTTTAATAGTTCTAAAAATCAATACCAATTTAAAAATTGTACATCACATGTACCCATTCAATACTGCAATTCAATATGCAATATTCGAATCAATGACATTTGGGTTGCAATTTTAAAATTATTCTCCATTTATTAGAGGACATAAATTAAATTTACTATTAAACTCAAATTAAAATATGAAAATTAAAATATCAAATAACAAAGAATGCACTTTCTGGAGAATTAGTGGGCTGGCTAACAATAGTGGAAAAGTCATATAATTTTTAGATTTTAGGTTTTTAGATTTTGTATTTGAAAATATACAAAACATTTTTTTAGTGTAACTGGTAATGGTTGTTGTCTTCGTTTGGAAAAACCATGGTTCGAATCCTGAGGTTGATGTTTTTTTTCTCGTATGAATGAAAAATAAATAATGATTGTGAAGACATAATTACCCTTCCTACTTTTGCTCTCGTTGCAGAAAATTCGAAATGCTGAAAGACTGCTCCAAGTTTGCTATAATATATTCGTAAAAAATATAAAAAATTGGGCTAGAACTGTCATGTACGATAAACTGGCCAAACTAGGGTATTAATCCAAAACAATACATAGAGATTGCATAAAGATTGGTATCACTATCAAGCCCGCTCATTATCACACAAGATTGACTCCCCCACCTGCTCCAGTGGGCGAGGTCCAGTAGGATTGTATCAGTGGGGCAATCACGGGGCAGGCTTTCGGGCCCTGGAGTCGGCCCAAACTCTCGCGAATGGTTCTTACATTCGAGTTTACCGCGTGCCCGCGTCAGAAAAGTTCCCGCGTTCATCACGCGGCGCGACTGTAGGCCCCACCTCCTCTGCTCTTGCCATGAAGTTTCCGAGTAATTGTTAAATTATTAGTTACTATGCTCAATAGAAATAATTTTAAATAAATAAATACGGCTTGAAGTCTTCGTCTTCCAGCTCCTGGGTTCATCTTCTTCCTTCCTATCCTTTTCCTTCTCGAGTCAAAATCCCCAATTCCCCATCCATAAAAAAAGAAAAAGAAAAGACAAAACCCCCTGTTCCCAAATTTCTCCCACTATTTCTTCTTCTTCGGCTCCTCTCCCTTTTTTTCTGCTCTCTCGTAAATACACGTGGAAACTGCCTCCTCCCCCAGATAGGCAAGGCAGATACTCTCTCACTCTTCCCCTCCCAAAAGCCAAGTCGACCTCAAACTCTTTCTTTTCCTTTCCGGGTCTTTTCCCCCCTTTCCTGGCTTCATCCAGAATCTCGCCGTCGCATCAGTCCGCTTTAGGGGAACCAGATGGGGAAAAGTTGGGGAGCAAGAAGGGCGCCGACGGTGGGCTTGGCGATTACTTTGATCATTGCGGCGGCGTTACATGGCTGCTTTTGCGCAACAGCTCCTGGGCTCAGGCTTCTCACCGGTGGTAAGAAGGCCGCCGCTGGTGCTGGCGGTACACTTGGCCATTCCGCCGTTTTCACCGTCAATGGCAACGTTTACCCACTTGGGTACGCATTTCCTTCCCTTCTCTTCTCCTTTCTTGCTCTTCTAGTTTCTCTAATTGCTGGTTTCCCTCTCTCTTTAGTCATTTTGGGTTTTTGGCCTTGCAATTCTCTTTCCAATTTGCAGTTTTGCTCAGTTTTTTATTTTTATCTTTGTGGGTTTTGGTGGATTGCTACAGTGGTGCTTATGCTACAAGTTTCATTTGATTCTCTAGGCAAGCAAGTTTTCGCTTTTGGCCAATTTCCCTGTCGATTGTTTCTGCAATCCATTTGCATGTCATCGTGGCGTATTTGTTTTAGGCGTCTTTGTTCTTCTTCTTAAGTCGCATCTTGGGGTTAATCGTTCCCCAACTCTTATCCCATTTGACTTATCGCTGCCTTTAATAATCTGTTCCTGGCATCTCTTTCGAAATGGTGGTTGCACTTCACATGAGGCTCACTTGCATCTCTAGTTAACTGAATATTTAGACGCTAATTTCCTAGCTCGGTTCGGTTTTGCTATATCAAGATCAGTTGTTTATATTATGTGCGCATGGTGATGATGGTATCTAATGTTGAAACACGGGGTTCCAAATATCTCTGCAATTTTGCAGGTACTACTCTGTCTCGATAAACATAGGCAATCCACCAAAGGCCTTCGAGCTAGATATCGACACTGGTAGCGACCTTACTTGGGTCCAATGTGATGCCCCTTGCACCGGCTGCACCAAGGTAAAATGAATGAAACAACTGAGTGGCCGTTAATAGACTTTCAGCAGTATAAGAAGCATGATGATACTGAGCGGATCCTGTCATTATTCAGACTTATATGAGTGTTCTTTCGCTCTCCTGTGTGCAGCCTCGTCAGAGTCTTTACAAGCCTAACAACAATTTGATCCCCTGTGGGCACAACCTTTGCTCTTCAATTCACTCAACTGGAAAGATCAATTGTCCAGAGCCTAGTGAACAATGTGACTATGAGGTTGAATATGCTGATCATGGTTCATCTCTTGGTGTGCTGGTAGCTGACAGCTTTCCCCTTCGCTTGATCAATGGCTCCTTCCTTAGCACCCGCCTAGGATTTGGGTCAGTCTCAAACTTACCGTATCACATTATTGAATTCGAAATGTTTCTTAAATCTCCCAAAACGGAGCCAATCTGCTGAAAGTGTTTTTTATTTTTATGTTCATGATTACTAATTGTTGGCTGCTGCAGCTGTGGGTATGATCAGAAGAATCCAATCACAGGCACTCCTCCCACAGCAGGGGTCCTTGGGCTTGGGAGTGGCAAAGCAAGCATTGTTACACAACTGAAGAACATGGGACTATTCCAGAATGTGATTGGCCACTGTTTTAGTGGACAAGTTGGTGGATACCTATTCCTCGGCAACTATCTCGTGCCTTCCTCTGGTGTGAGCTGGACTCCTATGTTGCAAACTGTCTCAGAGTAAGGGATTTCGTTTCGTATTACCCATACTGCTTCATTTGATCATCTCTTATTCTATCCGGCAATCTAACTGGTTTTCTGCTCTCAGGAAACACTACTCTGCCGGACCAGCTGAACTTCTCTTTGGTGGGAAGCATACCGGTTTGAATGGGCTACAGCTCATTTTTGACAGTGGGAGCTCCTACACTTACTTCAATTCTGTGGTCTACAAAAGCACACTCGATATGGTAAGACTAGATTGATGCAATCAACGCAGATTTGGTAAATGAACAAGTTGTTGCTTAGCCTAATTTTCTTGTTACCCTAGATAAAGAAGGATTTGAATGGAAAGCTGAAGGATGCACCAGAGGAGAAGGCACTTTCTGTCTGTTGGAAAGGTGCAAAGCCTGTCAAATCTCTCCAAGATGTAAAGAACCATTTCAAACCCCTTGCTCTAAGCTTTACTAGGTCGAAGAATGTTCAGCTCCTTGTACCACCAGAGAACTATCTGATTGTGACAGTAAGCACCTTTTCAACCTATTATTCCTTCTAACTCGGTAAGAACACATAATTTGACTTGACTCTTCTTTCTCCTCTCCAGAAGAGTGGAAATGTGTGCTTGGGAATCCTTAATGGTGGCGAAGTCGGATTGGGAAATCTCAATGTGATTGGTGGTAAGATGTTTGTTTAGTTGTTCTTGATCAGAAGAGCATTCGTGGTTTGACCCTTTACAACATATGTATTTACTTCCTCTTGCCTGTTTACAGACATTTTTATGCAAGACAAATTGATTATCTACGACAATGAGAAGCGGCAAATCGGATGGATCTCTTCCAACTGCAACAAGCTTCACAAGTCCTGAAACCCATATATACCCTAATCAATCAGTCAATTCTTACCATAATTGATGTAATTAGCATGGCAGAAACTCTCACGAGGATGTTTTTTTGCCTCATGTGGTTTTTGAACAGCTTGGTCGAAGGTGAATATAATAAAGAAATTTGTCAGCGTTATGCCGTCAATTTGGGGATCCTTGAAGAGCAGCAGTGCCCTTCTTCTTGGACTTACTGAGAAGTCGCAAGCAAAGAATGTAGTTATAGAAGGAAAGGGAATAGTAATACCCTACGATTTTGTCCATGTTTAGCATAATTTCTTCTGTTGTTTGTATTGTTAAACTGCCCATCATAGAAATGGGCATTATAAAGATGCATAAGTACATGTAAATAGTGAATTTCGGGTACCGAGTGTCCCCAGAAAAAGAGGAAAAAAAGAGAAGGGTAGCCTTTCTGCCTACAACATACAAGGAACTGCTGCTACATGACTCTTTTGGTTGATTGATACATAGAAACCCCATATAAAGAAATAATGGTTATACAGAAACTCGGGTTATGATTAATTGCGTTCTACAGACGAACCTAGCCGACTCACCAGTTAGGCTGGCCCTCGTTCGCACGTAGTGACTGGTGATTACAAGCCATTAGCGGTAAAAATAGCAGTCGACTTTAGCGCCGTTAAACTTGAAGACATTCATAGGCGTCCTAGGACACTTAACATGTCATTTAATGCACTTGCCGTAACCAAAGTGAGTATAAATACCACCTATTGACAGCATTTATGGTAACTCTCAACTACTACTACTCTCTCTCTATGTCTCTTTTATTTACTACAATCTCATTTTCCCTCTCTAACTTAAGCATCAGAGGAGTTCCCCCTAAGAACCTTTCTTGCAGGACACGCGGGACCGCCCCTACTGAGTCCATTTTTTAGTTCGTAAGCTCCACAAACCGCCTGGTACTAACCAGGATCAAACAATATACGATTAGAATTCCCCGATAATGGTGCCAAAAACTTGATTGCAGATATAGAAGTTATAATCCTAGGATGTTATAGGATCGTACCCCACAAGGTCTTCTAAGATAGTATGGTGTGATTAGTTATGCAATCAACTTTTTGGCACCATTGTTGGGAAATTCTAATCACATATAAAAGCATCTATCATGTTGTGTCTTTCTTTAGTTTTAAGTTTCTTTTGGTTTGTAGATTGTCTTATGAGTCCATTACGTACTATAAGAAAACAAAAGCTAAAGATTGTACAAGAGATCATCCAAGAAGGAGGAGCCATGAGTTCACCCATCTTGAGTGTCATGATTGTTATCTGCAGATCGCGAAATAGGAGGATTCAACAATGCAAGAAACGAAAACGCAAACACACACACGACACACGATTGACGTGGTTCACTAACACAATGCGTGTTAGCTAGTCCATGGACAGGAAAGTCAGTTTCACTATACTTAGAGGAGATACAGATTATAGAGAAGTATGAGAAGTATTCATAATACTTCTCCTAGGTCTAACCCAAATCCAATATGGTAAAGGAAAAGCGGTTACAGACCATGCCCAGAATCAGAACCCAAATAACATTGAGCCCATACACCTTGGACCCCACTCGCTGACCGGGCAGCGAGACCCCCTTGACTTCTAGTCTTAGCTGTTGATAGTCTGATTCAAGTCACATCAACAAATATCCACATTGACTTGAATCATCTTCCTCTGAAATCTCTTATGTACTCTGATCCTTCTCTTCCTCCTTCCATCAATGCCCCTTAGGGTGGATTCACCCACTCAAGACATTTAACAAGTCCAAGCACTGTTGTAACTTTCCATGTGGAACCGGCTTAGTGAACACGTCAGCAGGATTATCCGCAATGCCAACCTTCTTCACTTTAATCCTCTTCTCTGTCCTCAAGAAATGATACCTCACGTCGATGTGTTTAGTCCTCTCATGATAGACTTGATCCTTGGCCAAACATATTGCACTCAAGCTGTTGCAATACACCACTACCTGATCATGATGTAGACCCAGATCACCAACTAGTCTCTTCAACCATATTACCTCCTTAACAGCTTCTTTCAATGCCATATACTCTGCCCCACTAGTAGACAATGTCGCCGCCGACTCCAGAGTTGCCTTTTGACTCACTACAGAACTCCCAAGAGTGAATACATAACCAGTCATCAATCTCCTCATGTCAACATCTCCAGCATAGTCAGAATATGAATTACCAGCCACTAAGCACTCCGTATCACTTTCGAAGCTAATCCCCACATTAGACGTACCCTTCAAGTATCAGAAGATCCTCTCCACAGCCTACCAATGCTCCTTCTCAGGTTGGATCATAAACCTGCTGACAACACTAACAACATGTGCAAGATCAGGTCTAGTGCATACCATAGAGTACATCAAACTACCAATTGCACTAGCATATGAGACTCTCGACATGCACTTCTTCTCAGCCTTTGACCGCAGTGCATAAACTAAGGATAGATAAACATTTGAAGCACTAGGAGTATCCAAGGGTTTTGTTGAAGACATGCCAAACATGGACAATATCTTCTGGATGTAGCTCGTCTGTGACAAGAACAACTTCTTCTTTGACCTATCCCTGTAAATCTCCATACACAGAATCTTCTCAGCAACTCCCAAATCCTTCATCTCAAACTCAGCACAGAGAAGCCCCTTTAACCTTTGGATATCAGACTTCGACCTTGCAACTATGAGCATATCATCCACATACAGAACCAAATATATCATCGAACCATCTGCTGCCTTACTGTGATATACACAACAATCATAGGGACTTCTGTTGTAGCCCATCTCAAGCATGTAGCTGTTAAACCTCTTGTACAACTGCCTCAGAGATGGCTTAAGTCCATACAAGGACTTCTTCAGCTTACAAACATAGTCTTCTTTTCCTGAAACCTGGAATCCTTCTACTGAGTCTTGTAAATTTCTTCTTCCAACTCTTCATGAAGGAAAGCTATCTTCACGTCTAGCTGCTCGAGCTCCAAGTCATAATGTGTCACTATCGCTAGTAGCACCCTGATCGAAGTATTCTGACCACTGGTGAGAAAATCTCATCATAGTTAACTCCTTCCCTTTGCAAGAAGCCTCTTGCAACTACCTGAGCTTTAAATTTCATGCCCTCTTCAGAAGTGATTCCTTCATTCTTCTTGTAGATCCACTTGTTTGTAATAATCTTCCTTCCCTGTGGACATTTGACCAACTCCCAAGTCTGATTCCCGTCATGGGATTCCATCTCGTCCCCATTGGAGCGAGCCACTGCGCGATTTCACTACACGTAACTGCTTCTCTGTAGGACTGTGGTTCACCCGCATCCACCTCTTCAGCAACCTGAAAAGCATACTTCACCATGTCCTGGAAGCCATACCTCTATGGAGGTATTCCTTCAGTTGCTCTCTTCGGACTACCAGAAGCTATGGACTGTTGAGCTCCTGCACTGGACTGTGAAGTTTCTGGCACATCAGAAACATCCTCAGCAAGACCCCCGTGACTTCCAGTCCTAGCGGCTGATAGTCCAATTCAAGTCACATCAACATCGAGGACGAAGAAAGGAGCATGTAGCTCAAGAAAAGTAGAACCTTCAAGCCACACCAATCTCAAGCCAAGTTTGGGAGAGGAAGAGAACATTGGCTAAGAATACAACTTCAATTTGGAAGAAGAATGAGCCTTTTTAATGTCCCCTCATAATGGCCCCTCCCCATTACTACACCTTTTAAATCTCTCTATAATGCACTTTCATAATGCCACCCATAATGTATCTCACAAGTGAACAATAAAACTCATAAAGCTGGAGAATTCTAGAGGCATCTCTATGTTTCTAGTTTTTCATACACGCTACATGTATAGAGCTCCATGTTGTCACCATGATGACGCCATATCATCTGCCAGGACCACAATGTTAATAATTGTTTAAAACTGCTATATTTAGGTTTAATACACCTACACAGTCATAATTTTGCCCGTTATGACAATAATAGCCAAATTTTGAAAAATACACAAATATAGCCATTCCGTCAATAACTTTAACAGAGTAGTAATAAATGCTGACTATACTAACGGTGTTTGCTGACATCGCAAATTTTCATAAAAAACTATGCCAAGATGGAAATTATTCTTTTTTAATTAATTGAAAATTCCTTAAAAAAATCTCATCCGTTCTTGTACTTTTCTTCTTCCTCGGAGCTCTCCACATTCCACCTCTATTCCGCCGTGCCTTCAAGCACTCTACCCTCAATTGATTCGAGAAATCAGCTCTCCGCCTTAAAAAAATCCCAGATCGCTTCAATTATCACCACCAATAGCTTCATTGAAGCCCTGTACACTTCTTCCCCTTCCAGGCCTTCCTCTTCTTCTCGCCGTTGCCAATCCTCTGGCCGCATCCACCAGCTTTGTCGCCGACTAGAAGCAAGCGACGAGGCAGAGCACTGGCCTCACCCGCATCGCGTCGTCGAGGAGCGAGTACCATATTGATTCATGGATTTTCACCAGTCGCATATACCTTTAATTACATTTCTCTTCCGCCAGTCGCCTCTTCTTCTCGACTGAAGATTGATAATTTATATACGCGACAAAGGACTCGACGCGGACGGACTGGGTTCCGGGACGAAAAGGATCAGGACGAATGAGGCTGGGTTGCTTTAATCCAGCCAAGATGACAATAAAACCCCATTTTACAGAGAGAGAGGAAGAAGTCAATTTTCTCTATGGCGCCAGATTAGACAGAGGCATCAGATCTCGCTGCCAATAGCCTACAAGAAATTGAAATTGCTGGCTGTAAGTGATGGAGGGTTTGATTTTTCGATTTTTCGATTTTTGGGTCTCCCTGTTCTTTCTCCACTTCTTCCTTCTCTCCTCATTGCAATTTCTGGGTTACATAAGGATTTTGGGAATGACGACACATAGGCTGGGAGAGATGGAGATGTAGGGTTTGATTTTTTGGATTTCAAATTGGGTTGCGTGAAGTTTGGTGGGGTTTGGGCTTTGGGTTGCTGAACATTCTCATGTCGTCGATTCAGGGTTTTATGAGGAAATTGGGTTTTTTTATTGGAGTGGCGGGCTGCGATGGCTGGATGGAAGGGATGGCGAATGGCAGTGAGGGGGAGCCTGTTTCCAGATCCCGATAATCTTTCTTCATTTCACTAAAAAATGAGGTGGCTGACACGTGGCTTGCAATAGGTGACTCATATTTGACTTGTAGATTACGTGTACGTCCACATCAACAAAGAGTTAACAATATTAAATTTTTTAATGAAAATGGCTATATTTGTTAAATTAATTTTATTTTTTTTAAATTAAGACAATATCTTTGTATTTTTCAAAAGTTAGCTATTATCATAACAACGTACGTGTGTATTAAACCCCGACTAAAATAAAGAGCGGGATCTATGCGGGCCCGATTTCTTTCAGCTAGAGGGCTCGGCGGGTTTCCTGACTGCGCAATTCCAACAACAAAGTCTGTTTGGCGCCACAAAGCATCCATTCCCTTCCGCTCCTTCACTCCACAATTGCAGAGTTCTCGAGGGAAACTAGTAGTCAGCAGACCGCCGCAAGATCCAACGACGCCACACAGCGCCAGCAGCAGCAGAAAATAAGCGAAAAGGGATGGCAGACGTTAGCTCGCCGATGGACATAGACCACAATGGCGAGAAGCCGAACAAACACAACTCGTCATCCAAAGGCAAAACCGTCGTCGTCGACGGCAATCCTCCTGCCCATCCCAAGTCTACACCCTGGGTCGAGAAGTACCGCCCTCAATCGCTCGACGACGTCGCCGCTCACCGTGACATTATCGACACTAGTAATAATTTTATCGATTCCCCGCCCCTTCCTTTTTAGCTAGGGTTTCGTTCTCTTCTTCTCTGTCAGCTGCTTTCGTTTCGCTAGGTTTCGTTTCATTAGGTTTCACTTTCTGTTTGCGTTTAACAGTTGAAAGGCTGACGAACGAGAAGAAATTGCCGCATCTGTTGTTGTATGGACCCCCTGGTACGGGGAAAACGTCCACAATACTCGCTGTGGCGCGCAAACTCTACGGCCCTGACTACCGTAATATGATTCTGGAACTGAATGCTTCGGATGATAGAGGAATTGATGTTGTGCGGCAGCAGATACAAGACTTTGCTAGCAGTCAGAGCTTCTCATTCGGGTATTTTGTTCTACCAGGCCGCTTGAGTTGCTTGACAAGATCTTAATCTGTGTATCTTGGTTTCCCCTAAATTCATTTGGTAAAGCAATGAATGCTCAACGATAGATGCTCAAGGGCAAGCCCTAGACGGGCTATTCACTTTTAAAGATTCCACATTGTCTTTGAATAATGGGATAGAGGTGAAGAGGGGTGTTTGCTGTAGTCTATGTGTTTGACGTGACCAGTTGGATGCCAATTCTACCAATCTTCATTTGCTCTTAAGGGTTGGTAAAAAGATCATGGCTTGTTTCTCAATGGCTACCATGATATGTTTAAAGAAAAATGTCCAGAAGGATCGGTTCCCTTTGATTTTCGAGTTTAGCTTCAGTTTTGAGTCCAGTTATCTGTGACAAGTGTTGGCTGAATTTCTTGTTTTCTGTTTATTTGTAGTCCTAGGTCATCTGTGAAGTTGGTTTTACTCGATGAGGCTGATGCTATGACTAAGGATGCACAGTTCGCCTTGCGCAGAGGTACAAATTACCAGAATTAATCATGTTCAAGGTTGATTTTCTTGTTTTGCTGACATTCTCTTGAATAAGCACCTGGTTTTTCTGCAGTGATTGAGAAATACACAAAGAGTACACGGTTTGCCCTCATCTGTAACCATGTGAACAAAATTATTCCGGCACTACAATCTCGATGTACGCGATTCCGATTTGCTCCCCTTGATCCCGTTCATGTCAGTGGACGATTGAGACACGTCATAGAGTCTGAACAGTAAGTCTGATTATTCTTTTCACTTCATAATTCATATCAATTTCTACTGTGTGATTTGATTGTGCCTTTCCTCGGTGTATATTATTCTCGCTTATATATCAAAATAGTGGTACTATCACAGTAGCACATAAGTTAAGGTTAAAGCATTTTTGGACGGTATTAGCTTACTATTTTCTATAAAACAACGAACCCAAGTTATACTATGACTTCTGTTGGAGGGGAAATTGGCCATGAAATGGTCTAGTGTGAATTTCAAGTGAGGCATACGACTAGTGTTTCCAAGTTCCTTATTTAGGAAAAAGAATCCAAGGACAAGAAGATATGTGAATCAGTTAGGAAGCAAAAAGTGTGAGGTGGTAGATTTACAGCTTCACATAGTTTGTCTGGATGCAGGTAGATCATTGCTTCAATAGAAGGAAATATAGCTCCCTTGTGTTAGTAATCTTTTTCCTTGAAGGACCCCCTATTACCAACATAGAGTCCTATAGGTTATGAAGGAAGAAAAATGCTAGTTTGAGTAATTTCTTTATCCTTCTCTTTAGTGTTGCAGTGAAATTGCTGGGGAGACTAACATCAGAACACTTCCAATAAATTTCACAACGTCGTTTTGCTGGTGATACATTTCATTACATTTCAACTTATGCTTCAAGTATTGTTGGACTTTTCTACCTACCAAATCAGGCTTGATGTGACTGAAACTGGCTTAGCAGCTCTTGTACGGCTTAGCAATGGTGACATGAGGAAGGCTTTGAATATTTTGCAGGTTTGGAAATTTACGTTGCCCTTTCATGTGCATTTCAATAAGCTTTCACTTGTTTTTAGTATTTCAGATGTTCTTATGGAAATTAGGCCCATTCTTCTTCTTCAATTAATTGTTGTACTAGTAATTTGTTGAGGTTGCTTTTAGATTAGGTTTACAATGTCAGGAAAGCCAATGATCAATTTTTATCACTCAAAGGTCAAGTGTATGACATATAAACTATGTCCCCTGGTTCTTTTTGAGACATTTTTGTCAACGGTCCACTTCAACTTTCATTTTGATGGGTGCAGGCAACACAGATGGCCTCAAAGCACATTACAGAAGACGCTGTGTACCTCTGCACTGGAAATCCTTTGCCTAAAGACATTGAGCAAATATGTTTCTGGCTTTTAAACGAATCATTTTCAGATGGTTTCAAATGTACTGACCGTGGCTTCTGTGTGGACTGTCACATACTTTTAATCGAAGGATTCATTTCTATGCAAACGTCAATGAGGGGGTTTTCAGGCTAATTTTTCTCTCACTGATGATGCTTTATAGGTATTGCTGAAATGAAGAACCGAAAAGGATTGGCTATGGTGGATATAGTAAGAGAAGTAACAATGTCAGTGCAATGCAAAATGCATAATATTATCTGAACAATTCTGATTCTTGTTTATTTGATCTGAGATCTTCACTCATTTTGCTCGAAACAGGTTCGTTTTTAGGATCAAGATGCCATCAGATGTCCGGGTCAAGTTGATCAATGATATAGCTGATATAGAGTATGTATCCTGGTTTTCCATTATTCCTTTGTGCCATTTTGTGAATGTTTCTTTGTGCGTTAAAGCCAATTATAAATGGGAATGACACTCTTTGTCTCTTGTACCTGATACTGGGCAATCTGCATTGCAGGTACCGGTTGACTTTCGGGTGCAATGACAAATTGCAGCTTGGCTCTCTTATTGCTTCTTTCACCGGAGCTCGCTCTGCTCTAGTTGCTGCGGCAAAGTAGAATGTCCTTTTCTAAACTTTCCCTGGGAGTGGGTGAATCTGCTTCTGAGGTCAACCAAGTATTGAATATAGAGTAACTGAATGAAGCCCAACCTACTGGAAACTAGTTGGTACGTTTTCTTTCTTATCATGGACCGATTGGAGAAATAGTACTGGCTAGGAGTTCCATCTGCTACTCACAAACACGATAAACAAAGATTGATGTTGAATTTTGGTTACTAAAATCAGTTCAGGTTTCTTTCTCCTCTAGTTAACGTAGAGGCTGTACAGGTAAGTATTTATTTACATTACTTCACACCGCTGTCAAGATCTCTTCTTGACTTGCCCAGCCCACTCGTGCACAAGAGTAAAAAGCTATACTTTACAATATGTACCGATTGATTCTAAGCTGCATTTTACAAAGTACTGAATACATCTGCACATCATCTGCACACATTACTTAGGCCGCTGTCTCCCCCTCGTAGCTATGGCGGTCGTTAATTTGATACGTTGTTGGCCCAAACAATCTCAATTTCAACTGTTTTGGAAGTATCATCTTTGGTGCCTTCGTTAGTGAGGGGCACTGCTCCATTGTACATTCCATCTGTTACCACTCTGTCGATTTGGACGCTTGCTCTTCCTAGCGTCGTCTGTAACAGCCCCAACGCACAGCGCAAAAACCAAAAAAGATAACTTGTTATGCAATTAAGACATGGACAACCCTTTGGGCGCAGGCAGGCACTTAGCAATATTCGTGAGATTTCTGTAGAATTTCGTTAAGGGATCTCATGCACATAACAACAATGTGAACTGATGTTGATTTGTTACCTTGCCAAATGTGCTCTTGCTTTTGCATACAATATTGAGTTTCTGTCCCCTTGGCGCTATGTCAAATGCCCATGTGAAAGATTCATTCCACTCCGGCGAGGTACTATTGCTTACCACCTAGAAGACGAGACCGAATTTCCTCAACCATGTCCGTAGAAAGAAGCTACTGAAGGAAGTTTGAAGTTAACGACAACGAGCTGAAATTCTCTTACCTTGGTTTGCCGTTGAGGACTATTGCCGATAGTTAACTGACAGAAAGCATTCGCCTGCTTCAAGTTGTTCCCACGCCTGATGGTGACGGTCAGGCATCCAGGCAGGCAACGCAACAGTGCATCTGCTCTATTATGGGTACCCGGCGGACACGATTTCGACAGGCTTTGCAGAATGGGTACCGCTTCAGCAGCAATCATCGCCTGAGACTTGGCTATGTCTACCGGCATGGCCATCCACGACTCCTTCAATATGCACAGGGTGTCCAATGCACTCCTCTGCGCCGCCTCATTGTCTGACTTCAGAGCAGTTACCAGGTGAGGGATGCATAACGTGGCTGCCTCCGATACGTGGAGCTTCGCAAAGTTGGTGAACATGACGTTTATCGATTTCAATATCTGAATGTTCATAGTTGCTGCAGACAAGAACTCCCTCTCCAGTGCAGCTTTGGGAAGAAAGCAACGGGGAAAAAAATTAAAAAAACCCAGATATAAGTTTCTTCGAGCGAAATTTCTATTTAATACCTAAATATTTTAAGCGTGACAATTTTTTTAGTACCTGTCAAAGATCTGACGAGCTCAGTGGAAACGAATTCCTGTAGCGTGTGATTTGCAAACAGAAGCCTGATTAGCACGGCCGCTTGTGCCGCCACGTCAGCGCTAGGAGATATCAGTAGCTCCTGGATAACCAATATCCCGCCGGCTTCTGCCACTGTCCGTCGATTTGTCCGACTATGCATTACGAAATTCTGCAACGCACAAACTGCCACCATTGTTAGGTCCTCCGACGGGTGATCTTCCAGCAAGCTGACCAATGCTCGACAAGCCGACACCGAATCGCTCGATCTCGCGTGACCTTCCTGCTGCGAGAGATCTCCGAGCGCCAGAGCAGCAAACAGCTTGCAGGTCTCCGTCGTCGTTTGTGGATCTAGTAGGTACTCCGCTAGCGGCGCAATCGCATCCTTGGTAATCTTAATCTCTCTTACCCTAGCTTTGTTGAACAAAGCTTCCAGCAACCTCGCGGAGAGCTCTTCGCAGTGATGAGATCTCATCAGATCCAACAACGCGTCGACAACTCCAGCTTCCACCATTTGCTCGGCACTGGACTTATCGGCTCGATCGTGAACGAGCAAGGCGTTGAGCGCGACCTTAATCGTGCTCTCCAGAGTCGATTGTAACATTCGAACGAGAACAATCAGAGGGACTCTGTAGTAGTACTCGGCATTGAACTGAAGAAGATTCGAGAGAATTAGGGCTGCCGCTTCCCATAGCTCGAGAGTCGGTTCCGGATCGTCCTGGATTATAATTTTGGAGATCTCGTAGATCCCGCCGGCGTCAACGACTTCCTTCGGCCAGCTGGTTGAGATTCTTTCGAGCGCCGCCACTGCTATTTGTTGGAGTGTCAAGATCCCAATTCCGGCAAGCCTTACCAGCGGGACGATTGCATTCTTCGTTGTGATGTCTTGCTGGAAGTGTTCTTGTACTAAGAGATGGGAGAGAACGTCGGTGCCAGCGTGTTGAAGCTCTCGAGTCGGCGACTCAAGGAAGGAGATGAGTGGCTCAACTGTCTGGCTCGGTGGGAGTCTTAATGTGGTAAGACATTGTGGCTTCTCCAAGATATTCAAAAGCGCCTGTAACGCACTATTCTTTCCCCATAAGCTAAAATCTGGTTGAAGCAAGAGATCGAAGAGCGGTTCAATTATTTTTGCAGCTTCTGGACTCCTCGCTATGGCGCCACTGTTGGTAAGTATCCGGAAAAGCTCGGCGATGGCAGAGCAGCAAGGCATTGACGCGTGTGGAAGAAGGTCAAGACATTTGTCCAAGATCCCTGCTCTCACCATATCTTGTTTCCGGTGAGCTCGATCTTTTCCCAACTTTATTAGCACAGATACACTTCCCTCGATGAGTCGATACTCTGTGCCTGAAACAAGGCTGATGAGAAGGTCCAGTATTGTGTCATTCGCTGAAATATGCTCCACGAGCTGGACATCGGAGAGTAGCCTCTCGAATGCCCAAACCGCGGATTCTGCAGCCGAAACTGATGGAGATTGAATGAGAGATACGAGTGGTTCAATGCACTCGGGAGCAATGGGGGTTTCGCGGAACTTTTTGTTGCTGAAGAGGACATAACAAACCTGTGCAGCACTTCCTTTAAGCTCCACGGATGGAGAAGTGGAGAGTATGTTGTACATGGTCTCCAGTGCATTACCATCGATGTCAAAGAATAGAGCAGCTTTCGAAGCATTACTCCCCGAGGTAAGCTTGATCAAGGTGGCAAGAACAGATTGTTGCTCACTCTCTGATTCGGCAATGTTGACCATGTCGATCAAGGGCTGAACAACTTGTCTCGCCAAATCGCAGTTCTTAATCTTCTCAGCACTAAAGAGCTCGCGGAGAGCTCGTGCAGCACTAAATCGAGCACCTCTACAACTAAAGCGAAGGATGGCAATGAGATGGGTCAAACAGTTAAGTGCCACTTCGTGTCGTATGAGATCTGTGTTCTTGAACAGTACCCTTAACAACTCAGATATAGAAGCCTCATTCGGGTCTCGAGGGTTCAATGAGATGTACTTGGTTAAAGCCTCTAAAGCACCAGCTTCAGACATGATCAACTTGTTAGTGTCACTTCCCTCAGCAATGCGATGTAATAGCTCCACAGCAATTGGAAGGGCACCAGGTCTACCGGGAATGGGACGCAGGAGATCCACCAACAAAGGGATAGCTTTGTGAGCAGTTGACACACCACCACGAACATCATCTTCCTCAAAGAGGTGCTCTAGTGCAAGTTGAGCAGGGTTTTTCTCAAGAGAGAACTCTTCTGATAGAGTTGCCAGATTTGGAATCTCGGACTCATCATAGCCAATTAGTGGGATTAATCCGTTAATGGCGCCAGAGTTAGCAATGGAGATGCTTATTCCTTTGGTACCATTGCAAGCGAGACTTGCAAGAGCTTGGGATGCAAAAAATTTGTCAATCATTTTGTCGGACCTCAGCAGGTAAGCGAGAGAAGGTACAATCCGGATTGATGTAGGAGATAATACCACTTTGGCATCCTTGAATAGAACTGATAGAAGCAAGGCACTTATCCATATTCCTTCTCCGTCTTCAACTTCTGTCTGAGCATTGAAGATGGATTTTTTGTGTCAGGTCAAAACAAGTTGAAGAACGAAATGTGACAATAGTTGGAAAGATAAGAGATAGAACAATTTTCGGTTTATTACCAGTGGACGCGAAGTATAATACGAAAGCTTATTCGAGAGAACCTCGAGACCACCAGCTTCCATGGTAATGAGCTTGTTCTTTGCACGAAATGAAGATATGATCGCTAGTAACCACAGTGCAGCAGTACATCCCAATAAAGTAGTTGGATCCACCATATCAAACTCCTGTCTCTTTTGACGAATTGACCTATCATAAAACCCTCTAGGACTCTGGACCTCAATCTCCAAACCCGAAACCCGTGAGTTGTGTTTTATCATATTAACCAAGTTATATATGAGCTGCTTCAAGTATCCTGATGCATCAATCTCTTCCAAAGTCTTTTGTTTGTGTTCTTTTACAACACAAATGAGTAGAGCAGTCCCACCAACTCTCACTTCTGAGCTCGGCGAGTTGGTTATTCTGCTGGCTAAAGCAGCAATCGAACTCGACTTGGAAATCAACAGATCGCCCAACAGAACAGGTTGCTCACCGCAGAGCCTGGACAATATCTCGATCGCCTTATCTTGCACCACCGGTGACCCCTTAGCCAAGCAATAAACTAGAGGCTCTAAGCTTGATGGAACTTCAACTAGAGCAGCCCACGGTTGGTATTCTAAGTCTGCACCTTGCTTTGTCTTTGTCAAGAGTGAAACAACTTCTAAACCATCAGTCATATCTGTCCCACTCTTTTCCATCGAGTTTAGCGAATCAAGCACCGATAAAACCACGAAACGACACTGAGCACTCCCACTAATTACCTCACTTATTGGGAAATGATTTAGTAATTGATGAAGTGCCTGAGATGCACTCTTCTTCCCTTGTAAACTTCCTTCCCCAAGAACTCTTGTCAGACCTGAAACGACATCTTCCACTAAAGCTTCAGCAGCGAGATGGGGGTCAGAGAGAATACTTGCCAGTGCAGCAACTGCTGATTCTGCAGTCTCCATGGGAGAAGTTTTAGCCAATTCAATGAGAGGTATGACATCTTTCTGTGTGACATGCGACGTTTTTTTGCTCGACTTGGTCTTCTTTGGGCGAGACAATGCGGCTAATGCTTGAGCCAGTTGTTTTACGACAGTTTCGGTGTTGTTCCCGTTTAAGATTTTCTTGCAAGGATCCACAATTTCATTAGTCGAGAAGCTATGGCAGATATCTTGCCTCGTGGTGAATAGGTCAGCAAGAATATAAGCAGCATACTCTCGTGTTTCCCTATTTGGAGAGGTAAGAACCTGAACAAGAGATCTCACTGCTTTACTAGCTGGAGATTCTAAATTTTCAATATCCTTCTCTGATGCTAATGTGAGAACATGGCCTAGAACCCTGATGACATGAGACTTCGAATCTAGTGACTCGTCATCTAGCATTGGTAGTAGTTGATTGATTGTGGAAGAATCAGCACTTCTAATGAGCTTTAGAAGAGCCATATTGGATATCTCTTGAGCTTTTGGTGTACCAGTTGTAAGTAGCCATATGAAAGCTGGGATGGCTCCTGCACTTTCAATGCAGGCATGAATATCTTCACTATGACAACACAGGTTCCAAAGGACGAGAGCTGCGTCTTCCTTGGCCTTTTTAGATCCAACATCTAGTAACTGTACCAATGGAGGAATCCCACCGGCAGCTGTGATAGCCCACTTGCTCTCATCAACTTGGTCAGTCAAGATTAACAGCAACTCGACTGCACACTCCTGATGTTGCTCGCTAGATAAGCCAAGTAATGAGATGAGCATCTGAATTCCTTCTCTCTTGCCAATTGACTCCCATATGCCCATCTTGTTACGGCATAGCTTGATTAGGGAGGATATTAGGGATTCATGTCCATCCTCAGTAGTAGCCATTGTCACAAGTAAGGTGAGGCATTTCTTCGCATCTGCATTGTTTAACCACTTCTTGAGGTGTTCATTACCATACAAGCTAGCCATTGCTTCGAGAACACGCTCTTGGAACAACTTGGTGTCACGAGGCTTCAATAGTTTGATCAATATATCCTCTATCTTTGTTGCGTCGAAGGGTTCTTCATCGTCTTTAGTAGCAGAGTTGTGGTCATAGATCATCAAAGCATAAGCGAGGGCTCCAAGTATGTCAGCAACTGGTGCAGACAGGCGAGGCGACTGTGAGAGTTTCCCAAGATGTAGTAGCAAAGCGGGCATCCCTCCGTATATATTTTCTAAAGCTCGTGTAGCATGGGTCTGTAGGGCCTGGATGGAACCAACTTCTTGTACACCCTCTTTTGATTTTGGAGGAATCACAGAGGAAATAAGAAGATATACACCGTTTGCATCCACAATACACTTTCTAGCATCTTCGGATTTGTTGGTTAGAGCCTCCAAGGCCTCAGCAGCACTGGCACGCAAATGGATATCGTTATCTTGTTCCAAAAGTTGAAGCAAAGATTTAATTGTTCCGGCATCGATTGCTTCGACAACAATGTCGCTGAAATTCAGCATCAAGCTAGCCAAGAGAGAAGCAGCATTGGACTGTGTAAAGCTATTCTCAGAAGATAGAAGTTTGATGATGATTTTCACCCCTCCATCCTCGAGTATTGTTCTCCAACACGAGTCTTTGATGCTGGATAGATTTCTCAGTGCTCCCGTCACATACCCTTGTACCACTTTATCTTGTTTGTTCTTTGGGTCGAGTTGGTCCCATAGAGTTGGTACCACGCTCTCTGCCAAGAAAATCTTCATGCCAATGTGATCATCTGGAGGCCAGCCTGAGGAGACTTCGTATATGGACTCTGCTGCTGCCTTCCTAGCTTCAGGTGATTCTGATTTCAAAAGCAAGAGCAAAGGTGGGATGCACCCACCAAGAAGTACCTTGACCCGCAAGTCATCATCTTTGGACATAACACTCAGCGTTGCAGCTACATTTAGTTTGGCACCGTGAGTACCATCCCGAAGAATTGATACGAACAATGGCATCGCTTGAGCATGAGAACCAATGACAGTTCTTGCCTCCTTTTGCGCTTTGGCGATTCCAAGGACTCGTGCAGTAATGAGCTCCTTCTCATGGTGAGAAGATACTTTGGCGTGCAGCTTCTCGATGAAGGTGGACACCGTGGCCATTGCATTTTCTGGAGTTTCCTCTCCATTTGATTCTCTGTAATGAAAATTAGTGAATGCAATATATTAGAGCACAACATTGAACAATAATTAACAATGACTATGTCATGTTAGCTCGATGATAACCTAGTTGGAGAAACATCTGAATTTATGGATTGGCGCAGCTTAGAGAAGAGAGATTTTGACATTTTCACCAAACTGTTGTATGCTCTTGTTGTGCCAACTTTCCTTCCCTTCTATGTATCTAATGAAATCAAAAGATAAAACAACATCAATGCTAATTACACAAAGCAAATTTCCATCTCACAAATATTTTGTTGAGAAGGTAAAATTAACTTGAGAAAAGATAAATTCATATACACAACTCGCATAGAAAAGAGAAAGATTCAGGTACCTAATGTGTTGATGCATGTAGGCCTTCACAATTGACAAGCGAAGGCCAGAGGAGACATGGGAAGGAAATGGCGAGTTGGAGGGTGAAAATCTTCCTTTTCGTTTGTCGTAAGTGTCCTTTTCTAACCTTTTATCCTTGTCCTTTTCAATTTTTTTTTTATTATCGTTTTTTACTAATTAACTATATATTTTTTTTGTCTATTTTGTTTGAGATTGATTTTTATTTGCTATAATTACGATTTGATATTTTTGGGCAAAAGGAAGAGCCTCCATCCACTGACTAATGGAGAAATGAAATGACGGGATTGTGAGGGGGCCCTTGTTCGGATAGGGAGAATACATTGAATAAATCTACGAAAAGGAATTAGTATGGTTGTGTTTGTTTACGTTTTATACTATCTGCAAGATTGGGCTTGGCAAAGCATACTTTATGGACGCGATCTGCTGCAGAGAGAGCTGGGATGGAGAATAGGTACGGGTGATGGTGTGCGGGTGTTGGTAGGGGTGTTTATATGGTTACCGTGGTAATAACCAAACCAATTAAGTATAAATTTCATTAATCATGGAATAAAATGTCTTAACCAAACCGTCCAACTTAACACGAAAACCAAATTAACCAAATAACATAACATTACATGAAAACTATTATTCTGTTAATGAATAAAACATAACCATATGTTATTACTATCATAAACTATCATAAACTATCATTATATAATAATAAAACTAACCATCCATGATTATCATCCTCATTCGAGTTAATACACAACACCTAATATAGTTAGCTTACAACAAACCCTTAACATAAATATTAAATCAATTCAATATCACTCATCAAGAAGTTAAACCTCTCCTACAAAACACTTAAACTATACATAGTTTGAGGTTCTTGTCATGGTTTCATACATAATCCTAAGGTCTAGTAGCTGTCTAAAATATTTTTGTTTAGTAAATAGGCAGACCCATTTAATTTTTGACCCATAATGCTTTGGTTTGTTGTGCACATGGAAATAAAATAGGGAATCATGAAAGTTTGGTTTGGTTGGTTGCATGGAAGTATAAATAATTTTGTATATTAGGTATATCATAAATTGGTTAATTGGTTTCATTGGTTAGCAGTGTTGAAACCAAACCAAACCACCTAAACTAAATAAGCTAAATTGTTTAACCAAACCAAACCAATTATCCAAATTAACTGAATGCTACCGGTTAATATGGTTACCACGGAAACCAATCTGTTTAAACACCCCTAGGTGTTGGGGGATCCTTGGGTCTTGGGATTGGCTGGAGCTCCTCTGCCGGTCTTATTCACAGCGCTACTATCGGCGACATCTATGGTAAGTGATTTGATTTGTCCAGGAGTAGGGGTCTGATGCGAAGAATGTTTGGATAATTGTTTTCCAATTGATGTAAAACAAAGAATCTTGAGCATCCTGCTGCCACAATTGCCAATTCTGGATAAATTGGTTTGGAGGAATGAGGCTGATGGTTGGTATTCGGTGAAGTCAGGCTATCACACTGCAGTGCAGTTAAGATGTGCGAAGGGGAGGTTGAAGACAGAAGTCTCCTTCTGGGATAAAAGTTTATGGAAAAGGGGTTGGAGCTATCCGATTCCGCTGAAGCTAAAGCTCTTTCTTTGGCAGTTTATGCGTCGTATTCTTCCTACAATGGAGGCCTTGAGAGAAAAGGGCGGTACTGGTCCGATAGAGTGTCCGGTTTGCGGTGATCCCTTAGACACTTTAGAACATTTATTCTTGACTTGTAGCGTGGCAGCAGATTTATGGGTGCTACGGTTTGATGGGGGAAAGACAGGGATTGGAGGGATTGAATATGACTTTGGTATTTAGACGCATTGTTGAGAGGAATGATGATCCGGGAAGGATTATGCGCATAGTGGCCTTGCTATGGATGATCTGGAAATCTAGGAATTGGGTAGTATTTGATCATTTGTAGTATACTACTCGTTCGCTAGTTCGTCAGTTTCAATTTCAGGTAAGTGAATGGTTGGAATTACCGAATCAGGAGATAGGGCGAGTGTCAGCTGGGGGTGCGCAAGTGGCGGAGGTTCCGGTCACTGCGCCATTCACTTGTTTTGTTGATGGGGCAGTTTGTTTGGGGTCGCATTCCTCTGGTGGTTTAGTTGTCCAGGATCAAGAAGGTTCTATCCTTTTTGTGCAAGGATTTGTTTATGCAGGTTTGACGGACCCGTATCTGGCTGAATTAATGGCGTTCCGGGATGCGATTCGCTGGTGATCTTTGAAGGGTATGAGATAGGTTGTTTTTCTGGGGGATGCACAAGTCGTTATTTCCAAAATAAGAGAGTAGGATGTCCGTGATGCTAAAGGAGGAGTGATTCTTTATGAGATTTCTCGGCTACGTCTAGCTTTACAGGATTTTCAATTGGGTTTCGGGGTAGGCAAAAGAAACGAGTAGCTCATGTTGTAGCCAAAAAAGCTCTTTCTTTGTTTCCTCCAGGTTTGGTGGGTTTTGATTTTCGATCATGGTTTTTGTTTGGTTTGTAAACTGAGGTCTATATTTCTTGGTAATACGAGTGAGCTTTTGACAACAAAATAGTTTTATCTAGTGTTATCAAAATTTAATTAAAAATAAATATACTTCTTTATATTCAACTTTTTGCAACAAGCATCATCCTTTTGAAGTTATATCACAAAAAAAAATTAATAAATAAACATGGTCTTTTGGCTAGCGAAATGGAATGTATTCTGTATAGAACGGGAATAGAATTATGATTTTTCGGTTAAATCGTAACTTTGAGGAACCTACACGGCTTTGAGGTTAAATCGCAACTGTCGGAAAACTGTGTGGTTTTCACTTGACCGCAAACCAAATAAATTGATGCTTACTCGATTGCATTTATCTGGATCAATATTGTTTGAACTGAACAATTGTAGTGAGAGGTTCTGGTTTATATTCCATCTAATATTGGTTTGTACACTTATATCGAATGATTTGATGTTTTTATTTTTATTTTGTATACTTCTATGCTCTATTTTGTATAATTTGGGATGCTATTTTATAATATTTGTTGATGGTGGGATTGTTGTCGATGTCAGATTCTTCGTTACAGGTACCGATAGAGGCTTCAAGTCAGCTTACACTGTGATCTTTGCTCGTGATGCTAACTCCCACCACCTCATGTAAAAAGCGGACTATGTATAGGTTGAGGGAAGAATGAAGCTAATGACTTAGTGTAAGAGAGGAGGGTCTGGACAAGCGATAGTACCGTCTGCTAATATTAGCAAACTCTCTAAGGGGGCTCGCCATCACCATTTTTGCTTACCTTTGCCGGGAGGTGACAACTGCCTTTTATTTTGCGAGCTTCGAGTGACGTGAGCGCCACACTGCACTGATTCATGAGAGGAAATATTCCCTCTTTTCTTGTTTCCCCAAACATTTATTTTGCCTATATAAGGCTCCCTCCCTTACTTCTTCGTTGCATAGTCCTTTTTTGTGTGCTGTGGGAAGCTCTCCAGTGGTGGGGAGAGGTGAGAAGGGAGCCTCTTGTGAAGCTAAAGGTTTGACCTCATAAGGTATGTTATTTTGCCCCCTCCCTCCTACGTCGTTAGATTACCTTAGCTTAAATGTGCATGGTGGGTAGGAGGACTTGGTTCCACTATTATTTTTGGCCGTATGTTAGTTGATGGTTTCGAGTTGGGGGTCTTCAAGGGGGAAAAAGGTTCCTTCAGAGGAGATCGAGGTGACATCACGGGAGGGTGTGTCCACATTGGCTCAGGTGGTGCCCACATCGAGATGGGAGCGATCGAAGTCTGCACCGACGATGAATGCTACTGGGGGGCATCGTGTCCGATTGAACCAACAAGCTCTTTTACCGAGGCTACATTAGGGTCGGCCGTCATGGCAGGTACCGAGTGTGCTTTTTATGCCAAACCTTCTCTCCAGATGACATGGTGGGGGATATTTATTGAAACGTGGAGCTGCATCTTCGACCCATGTTGGCTGTGTATTGGATGTCCGAGCAGTGAGAGTACTATCACGACCTTACTCTCGATCGTGCGGCCCTAGTTCTCAATTCCGTTAGAGCGCTAGGCAGTTTTTCTCTCAACTCACTTGCAAGCAAAGAAATAAGAACAAAGACAAAGGAATTGAGAGAACTCTCTAGTGTGTATTACTCTAAAAAAATGATGGAATGAGTTACAAGTGAGGGAGATGACTCCTTATATAGGCCTCTCCTCATACAAGGCATCAATACCCCTCATAATGTCCCTCTACATTAATACACCCCATTAAGTTCCCCCATTATGCACTCTATAAATGTCACCCATTATGTGACTCATAAGTGCACCATTAAGCTCTCTATTAAGGTGGTGAATCCTAAGATCATCTCTATGCTACTAGTCTTCCATACATGCCACATGTGCAGCCGCCATGTTGTCACCTTGTTGGTGCCATGTCATCTGCCACATGTGACATCCTCCCCCACCTATGCTCGCGACGCCCTCGTCGCGTCCTCTTGATGGAATGCCTCGATCAAGTCCTTGTTCTTCCAAAGCGTGATCTCTTTCTCCCAAGTTGCTTCACTCTCCGGAAGGTTGCGCCACTTGACCAAGTACTCCACAAAACTTGGATGTACGCCACGACGAGGAATGACGCGACGCGCCATGATTTCTTCGACTTCATGGTCGTGTGTCTTGGTGATGAGTGTTGGTGTGCGCTGCGACTCTCTTCGCTGCTCGTCCTCCTTGTCTTCATTGAAAGCCTTGAGTTGGCGCACATGAAAGACCGGATGGATCTCTAAGTGCGATGGCACCTCCACCTTGTACGCCACTTTGCCAATCCTCTTCACGATGGGGAATGGCCCTTCATAGAGGCAAAACAGTCGCTTGTGCACGTTCTTGAGATGCATGAAGCGATGAGGGTAGAACTTTACCATCACCATGTCTCCCTCTTCAAACTCCAAGTGACACCTCTTCTTGTCCGCCCATTTCTTCATCTTCTTGCTAGCGCGGGCTAAGTAAGACTTGGCCATCTCCATCTTCTCGTGCCAACCTTTAGCGAACTTGTAGGCTGCTGGACTGTTGCCTCTATAACCCGTTGACACCGTCGTAGGTGTCAAAGCTGCCC